CGGCAGCTTTTGGGGGACAGTATTCAAGCCGTCACAGTTGCCTGAAGAACTGAGACCCCGTGAGCCCATGAGGGGCATTGTTCTGGCCCTGTTCCTCTCTAGGCCACCTGCATCGATGGAGGGGGGCCGTGGTAAAGGGAGTCCCCCTGCAGTGCCTTTCTGTTCAGGAATTCCCGTTCTTCAGCCAAGTTGCCCATAAAGCACATTTCTGTAACGTGAAGCGTTTATGTTCCCTTTGCTTTATAAGCCTGGAGGTACATCTCCATGGAAGAAAAATAACGGTAAAGGACAGTGAATTCCACGTCTGGCAGACAGTGAAGGTAGCAGAATTCCGAGCATCCTTGGACCTGGACGTGTGTCACCTCAGCGGCTGCACCACCAGCTGACTGGCACAGCGCACGGCCTGTGGCCTTTGCACCGGTTCCTCCCGTGAGCTCAGCGCTTTTGCCGTCACGCGGAGCTTCACGGTCCAGCTTCTGCCCTCCCTGGTTGGGTCTGTATGTTGACTGTGCCTGTTACTGTGGACCCACAACCCCCGCTTGAGACTTCAGATTTTAAATTATTATCGGCGCACGTTTTAAAGATGGGAGCAGTTAGAAGAGAAGCGTTCCACCCAGTGCGCTCGAGAGACGTAAGGCAGCGCAGGCCTGGCTCGCTGGGTGTGGTCCAGAGGCCTGGGCTGAGGCTGGGAGCGCGGGTGCGCAGCTGCAGGGGCGAGCGGGAGCGAGCAGGGGCTCGAGTTCTGAGAATAAGAGATGGTGACAATTGAGCAACATTTGCAGACAGTGAAGGTAGCAGAATTCCGAGCATCCTGGGACCTGGACGTGTGTCACCTCAGCGGCTGCACCACCAGCCGACTGGCACAGCGCACGGCCTGTGGCCTTTGCACCGGTTCCTCCCGTGAGCTCAGCGCTTTTGCCGTCACGCGGAGCTTCACGGTCCAGCTTCTGCCCTCCCTGGTTGGGTCTGTATGTTGACTGTGCCTGTTACTGTGGACCCACAACCCCCGCTTGAGACTTCAGATTTTAAATTATTATCGGCGCACGTTTTAAAGATGGGAGCAGTTAGAAGAGAAGCGTTCCACCCAGTGCGCTCGAGAGACGTAAGGCAGCGCAGGCCTGGCTCGCTGGGTGTGGTCCAGAGGCCTGGGCTGAGGCTGGGAGCGCGGGTGCGCAGCTGCAGGGGCGAGCGGGAGCGAGCAGGGGCTCGAGTTCTGAGAATAAGAGATGGTGACAATTGAGCAACATTTGCCAAACAAAAGCTATTGGTCTAGAATTTATTGAGGAATTTTGTTGTTCACCAGGCGGTGATCCTGCTGGGTTGCTTTATCGTTTCCCATTATTTCCAGGGAGCGAAGGGTACGCCCCCTTTACCTTGTAGTTGTGCATTTGCAGATTCGTGCAGACATGTGCGCCTAACAGCTGTGCAGCTCACGGGGCACAGCAGCGCCCCCTGGAGGACCAGCCTCAGGCGCGGAGAGCCAGGCAGCCTTCTCCAGTGTGTCCGGCACACACTGGCTGTCTCCGCTCCTGCCGGCTGCTGGTTCCAGGGAGCTGGCGGATGGCGGTCATACTTCACGCAGCATGGTGAGCGCGACATGGCGTGAGGTGTGAGGTGGCCGGTACCCGCAGCAGGAGCAGGTGCTTGTGGCATCGCAGGCTCTTCGCAGAGTTTGGAGCTGGGAGCAGGCGCAGGGGCTCCAGGGGGCAGGGCCCACGGCTCCGCAGCTGCTCGGTGACTGGGTCCTCAACAGTCAGCTGAGGGAGACGAATGACGGTGTTTAGGGCCTCCATCATGTGGGGGAAAGGGGGCCACGTGCTAACCTGACGACTCGGGGGAGGCCTGCAAACTCAGAACTAAAGCAACTGCAAAGGAGGGTCTGAAAGGAAAACGTTTTTTTAAAGTAAAAGCAGTTTATGGTGCATAGTCATGTTCTAGGCCAGTATCTTCCTGACCAAGGTCAATCTCGACCTTAACGGAGCCTGTCTATGGTCTTTGTGCACCTGCCATAACATAGCATAGCATTGGAAGGTCAAAGTCATTTCCCTTTTTCCGGGCCCCTCAAAGCACAGGCACCCCTCTGCAGAGACCACAGGGCCCCTCATTGCTATTGAGTTGATTGCTGACTGTTAACTACCCTGCACCCACCTAAGTAAAAGAAGCGGGTGTCTATCATTTTACTCTCTATCCAATCCCAGAGGTTCCCCCCCTTTGCTTTCTCCCGCCTCCCTAATCTATCAGCAGTGGATGTCATGTGACCCACTTACATCTCCTATTTAGATTGCAATGCATCAAACAAGGTGAAAAACCGCCATTCTCCGGAGCATTATCTCAATCCCTTGAGAGTCTGCTTCCTGCCAGTTGTTGACAGTTTGGCTCAAATAAACTCACACTCATTTTTCACAGGTTTGAATGTTTCTTATGTGGAGGTGGCAATCACCTCAGCCATTTTAAGAGGATAAATGAAGCGAGGACAAAGTGAAACCAAAAACAAATAAAAAACTACCACCTACCTTAAATATATATAGTATAAATGGTGTGTTCATACTTTATCATTTTGGAGCATATTATTATACTTATTTTGTTGTTAATCTTCACTCAAAGATATTTTTTTATTGATTTTAGAGAGAAAAAGAGAGAGGAAAATAAATACACACACACACACACACACACACACACACACACATACTAGAGGCCCAGTGCACAGATTCGTGCACCGGTAGGGTCCCTCAGCCTGGCCTGCACCCTATTGCAATCCAGGACTCCTCGGGGGATGTCAGACTGCCAGGTTCGGTCCAATCCCCTCAGGCCAGACTGAGGGACCCCACCGGTGCATTCGTGCACCGGGCCTCTAGTATGCCTATAAGATCTTTACTATCTTTCTCCCCTCCCCCTCCCCCCTTCCTTCTGATATTCATCAGTCTGTTCCATGTTTCTATGCCTGTGCATTGAGCGTTTGCCCCCTGGTGGTCATTGCACGTCATAGCTATCAGTCAAAGAGTCGGAAGGTCGCTTAGGCTTTTATATACATAGATAGATAGATAGATAGATAGATAGATAGATAGATAGATAGATAGATGATAGAGAGAGAGAGCCAATGATTGGTTGCCTCCCACACATGCTCAGGCTGGGGGTCAAACCTGCAACCGAGGTCTGGGTCCTGACTTGGGAATTGAACCCACAATCTTTTTGTTGTATGGGAAGATGCTTCAATCAACCTGGCTTTTAATCAGGCCAGGGCTATATTGATTAAAAAAACAACAAAACTCTTTCAAAAAATTGTTAGAAGAATTGGGAACCTCATGGAATTACATACCATTAAGGAATCCTCTGAGTCCCAGGTAGATCTCTCAGAATATGTTAGAAATTGCTGTGGCGCTGAGGATGTGGCACTGGGGATGTTGGCACTGGGCATGTGGTGTAGGGATATAGGCACTGGGGATGTGGCGCTGCTGGGAAGGGGTTTACGTTGGGGATGTGTCTCTGGGGATGGTTGGTGCTGGGGATGTTGGTGCTGGGGATGTGTGTGGTGCTGGGGGCGTGGTGCTGGGGATGTGGCGCTGGGGGCGTGGAGCTGGGGGCCTGGCACGCTGGGGACACTGGGTGGGTTCTGAAGGAGAGTGTGTTAGTCACTGACAGCAGGTGCATTGCAGAGCTGTCGCACTGTGATCCCTGGTTGAAGGGAGGCAGGTGAGGCTGCAAGTGTCCTGCCCTCAGCAGGTGCAGCTCAGCGCGGGCCCGGCTCTCGGCACCTGCGCAGCCGCTGAGAAGTGCGGGCGAGATGGCTGGAGGCTGGCAGCGCTCCTCTGCCTTAGACCCATGTGTGGCGACCATACACGTGATGCAGTCCTCCTTCCCGCCCCTGGCTGCCCTGACCCTTAGGTGGCACACATGCACCATTTCTCCTGCCAGCCGCGTGGCGATCTGGGTGCTGGTTTGCCGTGCACTATGGTTATCTCACCTGCGTAAGAGTTCCAGTTTGTTGTCACGACCAGACCTTCCTTCCGGCCTTGACATGCGTAATTCGGTGGCGGTGTGTTGGGTTAACAGAGACAATAGGGTAAATATCTCTCTCGCTTGTCTGCTTGAGGTGAGCAGATGGAGTCCTTGGAATGAAACAAGCTGCTGGCATGTGTGGTGTGCGTGCTGCCATGGCCTGTGTGGGTCTTTGTAGGCAAGATTGTGTGATGAAAACACATTGCAGCTCAGCAGAGCTGTCCAGACAGCTCACACGCAGGGAGGGCTCCCCCTGCTCAGCCTGAACTGGGGTTGGGGTGTGACCGTGGTAGGTTACCCGCCAGGTGGACCGGCCCCGGGCCCCCCCAGTCAGGCCTGGCCGCGATGCTCGTCTCCATGGAGTGCCGCCTTCCGTGTGCGTGGGGTGAGCGTGTTATCGGGAGGAACTGGCCGTGTCTCTTCGTTCCATGCTCAGGGATGCTGGTGGGAGACGATGGTGGTCGGTGACGAGGCTGGAGCAAGCGGAATGAACGGGTCGTTTGTGAACCTGATGTTTTTGGAAAATCATTTTTCAAAAAATTGTTAGAAGAATTGGGAACCTCATGGAATTACATACCATTAAGGAATCCTCTGAGTCCCAGGTAGATCTCTCAGAATACGTTAGAAATTGCTGTGGCCACGCACGAGGAAAGGGTGAACTGTGTGGGGCACGTGTGCATTGGGGATGTGGCGCTGGGGATGTGGTGCTGGGGATGTTGGCGCTGGGGATGTGCGTGGTGCTGGGGGTGTGGCGCTGGGGATGTGACACTGGGGGTGTGGTACTGGGGGTGTGGCGCTGGGGGTGTGGTGCTGGGGTTGGGGTGTGACCGTGGCAGGTTACCCGCCAGGTTACAGTCAGGGGTGGCCGTGATGCTCGTCTCCATGGACTGCCGCCTTCCGTGTGCATGGAGTGAGCGTGTTGTCAGGAGGAACTGGCCGTGTCTCTTCGTTCCATGCTCAGGGATGCTGGCGGGAGGCGATGGTGGTCGGTGACGAGGCTGGAGCAAGCGGAATGAACGGGTCGTTTGTGACCCTGATGTTTTTGGAAAATCATTTTAAATCCACACGTAATAACTTGGACATATGCAAAACATGCCAGGATTGTGGGTGGGATTTAATCTCTTCATTTCCTTACCTTTGAAAGGAAGGCCTTTCTAGGAGGCTTGCCACAGGACTTGGTGAAATTCCGCAATTGTCTGAGCGCGATTCTCATGTCAATGTCCCAGTTGCTCTCCTTAGCGCCTGCCGTCCGCCAGGACCAACGCGCAGACAAGTACAGGCCTCGCTCGGCCCACACTGAATGGATGAAACGCACTTACATTTCCGCTCCTTTAAAGACGGAAGAGAATGAGGCAAACTGTGGCCTCTAGAGCAGCAGAGTGGGGTGCTCTGGGGGGAAGCACACCAGCCACCCCACCTGGCGACGGCCCCTGAGGCTGACAGCGGCCACTGTCCCCACACACAGGGTTGGGGATGACTGCATGATCTTTAGGTCGAGCTGCCTGAGTCTAACGGGGGAAAAGCTCTTCCTCCTTCTGGTGGAGGAGGAGGCAGGGAGAAGGGCTGCGCCCCACCCCGGAGCGGAGGGCCGGGCAGGGCACTGGGTTCATGGCTCAGGGCGCACGGGAAGGCAGGAGGGGACTGCGAGTGATGAGAACTTCTCCCCTTTCGGAGTTCCAACTGGACTTCTGTTTGCCCAGATAAAAGCTCCGTATAATTCTCACTGACATGCGGATGGTAATTACCAACACAAAACAAACTAAAACCCACCCACCCACTGCTGACCCTCATGTAAGGGCAGAAGCCTGAGCCGTGGGGGCCGGTCCCCGTGACCGCGGAGAAGAAGGGATGCTGGGTGGGGACGCCGGGCATCCACACGGTCACTGCATTGAAGGGCTCGGGATTCTTCCCACTGCAGGGGCCGTCCGGCTTCGTGGCGGTGCCCACCGGGTGGAAGGCACAGTGGAGGTGTACGCCAACAGCGTGTGGGGCGCCGTCTGCAGCAGCCACTGGGACGACGCGGACGCTGCGGTCGTCTGTCACCAGCTGCAGCTGGGGTGAGTCCGCGACCTTGCCCGGGCTGGGCACATGACCGGGAGCGAGTGGGCAGCATGGTGCTTGTGGGAAGGTTCGTCCTCCTTCCTCATCCCACTCTCCTCAGCACAGTTGAGGGAGAGAGTGAGCTCTTGCCCTCACATACTCTGTGTGCCCACAGCACTCCCCTGCTGGCCACGGCACTCCCCCGCTGGCCACGACACTCCCCCACTGG